CCCATCAGAAAAGGATACACCTGCCATCTTGGATAGGTGTTTAAAAGTGATTGGGTTTTGGGCCAGGGATTTAGCTCAGTGACACTGTGCATGCCTCATAAATGCAAGGTCATAAGTTTTATCCCAGCTACCAAAAGAGAGAGAGAGAGAGACAGAGAGAGAGAGAGAGAGAGAGAGAGAGACAGATTGGGCTTCATGTCCAGCTTCAGGCTGGAAATTCTATGCACTCACATTCTCAACGGCAGACACATGACCTCTGGGACCAGTTTTCCTTGACATAGTTAAAAGTAGCTGCCTTAACATAAACAGTCCTGGGAGAGAAAGAGGAGGCCCTGTCCTAGGACTACAGAGACTTAGCTTCTCAGCTAGGCAGCTCTATGTCTAGGCCTCCCTGCCCAAAACCTGGCCCTTAGGACAAAGGAATACTTTAGTGACTTCTCACTGTTTTAAAACAAATGACTGTGGGAGAGGGAAAGGCTCAAGGCTAGGGCTCTGCTCCCAGTATCCATATCCTCCCACAGCTGCAATATTTGGGAGGGGACCTGCTGAAGGTTTCTCTTGTCCCTAGGGCAGTATTGAGGCCAGACTGAAGGCTTCTGTGCTGCTTGCTGGCTGCAAGAGCTAATCACAAGGATGAGAATTGGGGGAGGAATTTGGGGGAGGTGGAATGCAAGTATAGAAAAGTTTGATATAAAACAGTGGGGCTGAGAGCAAACTGGTTAACTTTGCCACTCACTGTGGTGCTTTTCCCCTTTGAATTCTGCTTTGAAAAGAATAAATTTGTACTTGTTTACTTTGGTTGCTCTGATTATTCTCTGATTTTGATATTCACGTTTTTCCCTTATTTCGGGGTAGGAGGATAGGATGTATCAAGAAGCCACAAGAATATTTCCAAACATAAAACCACCATATGAGAGAACTGCCTATGGGATAACAAAAGAACCCCTTTGATTCCATCTGCCACTATTGACCTCTCAAGCCACCCCTCTAAAATTAGGTAGTTATTGCCTCACGGGATGAGCTTTGTATAGGAATGGCTCCTAAATTTCATCATCAATTTGAGGAAATTTTCACCAGCTGAAGCAATATGATAAAAATCAGGACATTTCAGTTGTTTCCATAAAGTTATATTTATTCACTAAAGGTCTATCTTTTTTTCTAACATTATAGCTATATAT